AGAGCAGGCCTTTTTGTTCTTGCAATTCAAGTTAAGAAAATAGCTGGATGCTGGGGGTTAGGGGAAGCTGCCAATCTTGGAAATGACACGCCTGCCAGCAGCATGAGCACCAAACTACCAGTCACTTTCATGCAGGCACACCACTTACTGCCAACAATCAGACACTCAGGCAACTGGAGGAAAAAAACACCCAGCAGCGAAAGGTCAAAGTGTCATTAAGTGTACGTTTTGTAATTTCACAAGCCTCAACATACGTACATGCTCAATATTTTCCCACCCTCCACCCATTCATCGATAGCACCTCTTCCACCCTAGATGATATAGTCATGCCGCTCTGTCTCAAGATTTCCAGTAACAAGTTATATCTGTAGAGTGCCTTTCACACTTTCACCTGAAAACATGTCTCAAAATACTTCACACGACTGGGAACTGAGGTTGGCGGGCTGTGGGGTAGAATGTGTCAAAAGCATGGCTGAAAAGATAGGTTTTCAAGGCAGAAAGGGAGGGGGTAAGGAAAGAGATCTTTGGAATGAAGTTCTGGAGAAAGGTGGCAGAACAGATGAAAACACGTCCATCCATGATAGACGTGGACATGAAGCAGGCTGCCGGTGTTAGTTGTGTGGAGGAAGTGACCGGACAATATGGTCACAGGAAATGACAAAGAATGAAAGAGGATGGGGACGAATTTGAAGGTAAGGTCGAGGCTCTTGAATTTGATCTGCTGGGGGATGGTGAGACAGTGGAGCCAAGCGAGAATAGATATAATGGACACATGGAACCTGGTGTAAGAGAGGATATATGCTGCAGAATTCTGGATAGTCTGCAGCTTGTGTCACGAAGAACTGGTAAACAGAGTGCTGGAATAATTAAGCATGGACATGATGAAGGTCTGAACGAGGGTTTCAGCAGCCGGGGAGAAGTCGTGGCACAGGTGGGAGATGTTCCAGAACGAGGGAAAGCCATTTCAATGAAAGCCCAAACACACATTTTGAAGGATGGTTGGGGGTCAAACAAGACATTGTCTCCAGAGTGTGCGTTTGTATAGATTGATGTAGGTCGTGCCTGAGACGAGAAGGACGAAATTAAGCTGTGGGAGTGATAGCTCATCCAGGACATGAGGTATGACTGTGTCAGTGGAGAGGGACAGGTTTATAGAGGCAGAGGCATTGTCTCTGTCGTTTGTACCCAAATACTTCATTTTAAAGATTGCCAATGATCAGTGGAGATGAGCAGTCAAATAAACTCAGATTTTATATTCAGTAGGTCCAAACAAGCTGAGAAATGATGGTCTGTATATGTAGAGGGTCACTTTATCCCTTCGCAAAATATAAGCCCTAACCTTTGAGAGGCCCATGTCAAAGTTTTTTCAGATACAACCTTGATCTTTCAATTTGTCACACATTTCTGGTAATCTCCCAGTCTTCAAATCTTGATAATCTGGACTTGCAAAGTAAAAGAAAACCCGAGTTCTCCGAGCATTTTACCCTGTGCTATTTGTTATAATTGCTACACAGTGTTTTACTTTGTGTGAACTGCCGGGTTGCAACTTCAGAAAAATAGGCCAAAGCACAATAGATTAAGCCTGGATTTTCTCCATGATGTTACAATTGTAAATAAATTACCTCCTGTAAAGTAAATGTAACTCATTTTAATGTGATTATTGGTCAAAACTGTGATTTTCCTTCATACATTCCATTCTTTAACAATAACAACTTGCATTTATTTAGCCACCTTCACACAGCTCCCAGAGAAGGAAGCTTCTCCCAGTGATTTGACCAACAATCCTTCAATAGAAATGCTCACTCACTTCATGGCTGTTTGTGGGATATTGGTGTGTGCAAATTGCCAACAAAACAGACAGTGTATCCTGTGAAGCGTCTTGGGATTTCTGTCCAAAGTGAAAGGCACTATACCAAATGGAAGCATTATTATTAGTTATTTTATTTCGAAAGATTCCTTTAATAACAGGTTTAGGAATTGACCCTGGTTTTTCAGAGTCAATCTGGCCACTTTTTTAAAAAAATTTAGCAAGCACCATGGTGTTGCAAGTATCTTTTTAACTTCAAAATTATACTTTAAAAAGTATTTTTACACTAAAGGCAAAGAGATATGGAATGTTTTCTCTCTACAGTCTCGTAAATGATCGAGCGGATCTGTGAGTCTTTAATTGGGTCATAGAGAATATGGGTTTGAAGTCTCTTTGCGAAAGTAAAAATGTGGAATAAAAGTTGTTCTATAGGCTTGGAATTAAAATCTCAGCGATCGCTAAATATTTAAATAAGGCTACCAAATCCTGAGCGACAATCAAGGAAGTGAATGTGTTTAGGAATCTTGCAATTTTGACCCCAAAATGTGTCCAATGTGTCTGAAGGTATGAATGTGCCAGCAATTACAAATGCGATTTCCCATTTGGACGTGCTTCACCACAATGTGACTTTGCCTATAACACAGGTCTCCAGTGGTTGCCAGAACTGGGGTAAGCTTCTGATTTCTGGCACAGGCTGGCTGTCCTCCTGTATGTGCATGCAGTGTGTAGGGAGCTGGCAGTCAGCTGCAAAATAGTGAGTGTTTCCAGCATGAAAACCCTCATGAGGACTGTTGCAGCTGACCGACTAGCTTCCTGTACGCTGCGTGCACACACAGCAACCTGACCAGTAAAGATGACCCTAAAGACCCAGAAGTCGGGATAGTGGACTTTTTTTGTGAAACCGTGATCACAGGGGGAAGGGAGGGGGTCTCATTTTGTGGACCCAAAGCACCACGTTGCAACAGATTTGAATGTAAAACACCCACCTCACCAGACTGGTTTACAGTTCCAGCCATACTTTGGACAGACTTGACATATTTCATTGAACCACAAAAAAAGGATGAGTTTGTCTAGTTACAGCTGGTAATTACGACCTTAAAGGATTATTTCTAAAAGCTTAGATGTATTGACTATCAATCCAGACATTTCACCAACTGCAGTGCACTTTCTTCTTCATTACCATCAGATCAAGTCCAGCAGCATCAAGCTGGAATCCCAGGAAATTCAATTTCCTGAGGCTTTGTTGTCCGTGAACCCACAGCTTGTCCTCACCTACTTTTCAATGTCCCTTGTACAAACCAATATTACAGTGATCAAAAATCATTCCCCAGCATCATGTGCTGGTATTTGTCTCTGCAGCCTTACCGAGACTGGTAATAGAATTCAATTTTGAAAGATCACAGTCAAGCAGTCAAGGCTACATCATCAGTGAGTTACTTACAGGAAAATACGCATCATTCCATTATCTTTCAGAAAATCCATTGTAAGACTTCTATTGATTGAGTAAATGCTGCCCGTGTGAAGGGCACGTCCAGCCGTAGTCAATGACATTTCCATTCACTAGAGCTGGAAAGAGAAGAATTGCAATGGTGGTCTGCAACGCCTCGCTTTAGACTCAACATAGAGCAGTCTGGAAACTGCTGGAAATAAAAAGGCTATTTAATATGAAAACACACCTTTCTCTCCCTTGCTAAATCTTTCTCATAGATAAGCAATAACAGTCCCACATAGTGGTCGGTGTCCACTGGCACTAATTAAACACAAGAACGGGAATGTTTGTTACAGTTCCAGGCACTATGGCTGTTCATCCTGGAAGAGTGATAATGCCAACAAACAATCACATTTTTTCAATGATTCCATATCATATTCATCATCAGACAACCCTGCCATAGGTAACTGCACTACTAACTATTCTACAGACCCAAACAGGTTTGATAGACAAGAGTCTTACCAGGTCATTGACGAAATCATGGCAACCTTCAACAGAATTCAAAAAGATTTTACAGGTAAGAAAGCTCAAGGCATGTAACTCTCACCAATCCAAGCATATCCGAGAAAAGCTTTACAATTTGATCTGATTCAAATGCTTTAATTACTTCATGTTGTTCCATGCAGGATATTTTCCTCTCTTCCTCCCACTGAAAACAGTAGACCATCACTATAATGAATGCTACTTTTCACAGGTTTAACAAATAATGCAGCATTCAGACCTTTGTGGCAATGCAAATTCATTTCATCTTGTTTTTTCCTGCAGGTTTTCAACAAAGCCGGGCCATAATTCTAAAAATAAGTGCCCATGAGAGTTATCTTCCACTTAACTACTTCGTGAAGACAGTGCATGGTGCTAAGGACAAATTATTTTATGTGATTTATCGCAATATGATGTAGAGTATATTCGCTTTAATTAGCAACTTTAATCCACCTGAAGGAGATGGTAGCTGATAAGTACTGCTTTGAAAGGTTCATATCGTCTCACTCTACTACAATCTACTTGCTTTCTTGAGTATCAAGCTGAATGCCATAGTTTTGCAAATATCATAGAACTTGTTGCGTTTATGCATGCAAAATTGATGTGTCCACACAATATTTACAAAATCTTCTCACTTCTGTTTGCAAGTATTTTATAAAGCAATGCATTGGGCATTCACTGGGAACCTAGCGATTGTTCAAGTCATCCTCGATTGGGACTGTGCAAAGTTATTATGATCAGTTATCTCTGAACAGTGCTCGGTAAACATTTACAATTATATCCATAAATAAGACAGACGTTCAAGTTGTCAGTAGGACATCGAGACATCAATCATCCTTCGGAAACGCATTACACAAAGCCCAGCTGCTGCCACAGAGTGCTTTTAATGTGATATGCAAGACTTGGCACAGCAGCAGAAACCAACTCATGGGGATTGAACTGCTCGGATACAGGGACCAAATGTAGACTGTGTTTTATATCAGTTCCATTGTTTTTTTTTTCCATTTCACCTGACGATTATCCAGCTCTATTGGAATTCACATTCACTCTCCCCACGTTCACATTTTAAGCAAATACTAGCAGAGATCAATGGAAATTGGAGGCGGAGAGATTAACCTTTCATGAAATTCATTCCTGACCTTGAAGTGCTTTGCATCTGAAATCATGCCAAGGGGACCAGCAGAAAACCCTTCACGTCAGTATCATGAGCAACGGTCAACTTACCTGCCAGGCAGCAAATGAATGACAACGCAAAAAAATGACTGAACAGGAACCACATTCTCAGCTGTGGTTGAAAGCGGATGGCATCAACTTGGAAATCGCTGTGCTCTTGAGGTCTTGGATATCAAATCATCAGGCTTCCTATAAAATAAAGCAAAGAACCATGTTAAAACAGGTTTCTCTGGGATAGATAATTACTGCATATTTCTGTCAATCAATCAGATGGCAAACATTTGTTCAGCTCAAAATATGGTTCAAGCCCCACGGGGAGACTTTAAACTCACATAGTCTAGGCCAACACGCCATAACAATGCTGGGAGAGGACTTCATTGTCAGAGGTGCTGTGCTTTGGATAAGGACAGTGTAATAAACAAAACCCCATCTGCCTGTTTAAGTGGACATCAAAGATGCCACAATGCTATTCAAAAAGAGAAGGGAATTTCGCCTTGTGTCCTGGCCTACAATTCCCCAATAAAATTGGTCACTCACTTCATGGCTGTTTGTGGGACATTACTGTGAACAAATCGGCTGCTGCATTCACCTACAAATACACAGTCACTACATTTTACAGGGTGGTGGGTTGATTGCATCAGCAGGTGTGTGGGATCTTCCTCAGGGCTGAGGTGGCTTCGAGGTGATGTACCTGGCAACGGAATGTTGGAGTCCAGCTCATTTTTGTGTTGGTCTCAGTAATCCAATTCCTAAGCAAAGCAGGTCCACAGTACTGCAAAGCACTTCTGAAGACAGACCAGTCAACCTGGCTTATCAGAAGGACTGAGAGAGCCAGGAAAAGTTTCTTCCCACTACCTACTTTTATCCCTGCCAGCCAAATGACTAACAAATAGAGTGGTCCAAGATTGACAACCAGCAGAAAACCTGTTGGGAGTGTGATTGGCAAAGTTATGGGGTATTAATTGATTAAACTCCCGAACGCACACACTGGGGTCCCCAAGCCTGTCAATCTTTGCCTGATACTTTCTGGAATTAGGTAAACAGAGTGCATCTCTTGGTGTCCATTCCAGACAAATGGGAAATGTTATGGTTAGGTGGCATGCATTTGTGTCAGACTTTCAGTCTGGTTTGCATGCCATGGCAATGAGTTTTCCCATGTGTCAGACACCCAGATGAACCAAAACAAAAGTAAAAATCCTCAGGATCAGCACACTACAAACAGTGGAAGTGAACTGCTGGCACGCAGGCAAACCCGTGCTCCTTGAGTTTTGGGACTGACTTATGCTCAGTTCTTTGTACTAAAGGGTGCAATAGAAGAAAAGAAATATCAGCATTCACTAGAGACTATGCGGCAACTGAGTGCAAAATTGTCAAACTGGACTGAATAAATGTGCTACTGGTTTGCAGCAAATAAAAATATTCTCCAAGACCTGTGTCACTGCCCAACAACCCAACGAGAACTGCGCTAAGATAATGAAAGCAGACTCAATCTAAAATAGAAAGCTCTGTGAGTGACTGCAGCAAATAGCAATTGGAGCTCCTGATTTTCCACATGACTTGTTCTATCTTACTGAATCATTCCATTCAATGCAGTAATCAATTCAAGCTACTTAATGGCCCTGCTATAAATGCACCTCAGCTCCTGACTAGTGTCTGGATCCTTGACAGATTAGTAATACCTTCCTGAAGCCTAGAGTCACTTCAAATCATTAAGGAGAAATTGGAGGGATAAGCACTTATTTCTCTGCGACTGTCTACATTGTCAAATCTATGCAATTCAAAATTCAACCTCTAAACACTGCGAATGTTATTCCATGCAAATATTACAGAGACTCATTGTTTACTGACCCAATTTACTGGTTCAACACTTGCCACCAAATGCTGCTGAAGTGCACACATTCTGAATTACACTTCCAAGCACTAACATTGATCCAATTATTATTTTATGTAATTCAGATCCATTGCTGTTTTTTTAAGAATAGTTTGATGAACTGAAAAGGGGTAGAAGCCAAAGACCTGACCAACAATCACTCAAATAAAATTGGTCACTCCCTTCATCGGTGTTTGTCTGGGACATTGCTGTGGGTGAATTGACCTCTTTGTTCGCCTCCAAATAGAGTCCTGTAGCTTAGTGGTTAGAGCACTTGCCTCACAAGCGAGAGGACCTGAGTTTGATTCCTGGACAAGAACCTGAGTTTGATTCCTGGACATTATTATTATTAAGAAAAAATGTTCAGCAAGTTTCCTTAGTCCACATGTCTCTGTTTACCTAGCAGAAAATAATCAATTGGCGAATCGCTTTTCCAGTGGTAATGAGACGTCTCAAATATGTGATACGGCGTTATATCAAATGCAAGGATTATTATTAAACTACGCTTTTTTCCTCCAGATGTGAAAGGTGCTGTATCAAATGTAAATATTATTAATATCATTCCAGAATGATGCTGCAGGAAAAATCCAAAGTTTTGAGATGAAACTCACTAAGTTGGCAGTAAAACACTGTTCTTCCACAGCCTCATCACTCCTACATATTCACTGTTCTTTATACAAGCTGTGCAGCTTCCCCTTTTAAATGAATGACACACCCATGTGACACAACACATTTTTTTGCAGTGCCCCACTTGGATAACACTTGTCTGCGGCCCTCTCATTGCCACTCCGGTGCCCTGCTCCTGTACTGCCCCATGTTAATGCAACCCCTCTGTGCTGCTCTTCAATACTCCGAGGTCAGCGTCCCACTTTGAGACTATTCTCCAGCATCCCAATAAATGGTCAGTTCTCTGGGATCTGAAAAACAGCTAACTGGACCAACAGCAATGATTGCAACACATCTGATTTGTGATTTAGTTCAACATCAGTGACCAACCAAATCTGGTTTATCTGACAGCCATTAATTAAACAGTGCCTAAGGTGGGGAGGCGAGATGGTGACATTTCGAACAGAATCACTGCAAGCAATAACTTCCCTTCAAAAGCAATTAAACAGCAGCGCTGATTATTGGGGTCAGCTCTGGCATACACCTTCCAGGCAGCAGACAAACTGCTGTTGAAAAAAGCCCGATAATATCACTTGGAAACATTTTCAACGTGAGACATTATAACTTTTATGATTTTTTTTAATGTAAAAAAAATTCAAGTCATTGAAATATTTTAATAAGTGATGAGAAAGAACAAGGCTTTGCAGGATCCTCAAATTGTACAGGACAACCCTACAATATCTGTTATAATTCATTGTTGTAAGTCTGTTTATACCGCTGATATACCATGATTCCATACTTGATGGAAATTACGTTTCACTTCCAGCACTAACTGGCCAAAGTAAATCAACAGCGACCTGATGACCCTGGAAGCACTGACCTGTGGCCATGATTTAGTGCACCTCCTTACAAGACAGGTTGTGGGTGTATGGCCCCAACCACCATCTTTGTAACAAAGTGACCCTGCATTGTCCACATTGAAGGTTCACCTGGAGCAATAGTACTCAGGAAGCATTGAATGGTCAAATCGCTGGCAAAAACTCTTCTTGCCTGATTCATCGCTGGCTACTGCTTATTCTAGCTTTGTAAAAAGCAGCTGTGGCTAAACCCATTGACATTTCCATTCCCTCCCAGAGTTAAAATGACAAATTGGTAGTCAAATTCATAAAACATTTGTTGTTCTAGACAAAGTTTTCACATGTGCGGCCTTTGATTGGCATCACTAAGAGGAGACTCACATGCTTTCTTCCCAATGTAACTAAGATGTCAAAACAAAACTTAACATTACGCTGCTTTTAAAACATCACTTGAAAATAATCAAGTTAATAAAATCAATTACACCCGCAAAATACATAGTACAGTATATTACAGTACACTTTTCAGTATATTCTGTGAAGCGTTTTGAGACGCCTCAACATCATGATAAGGTGCTATATCAAATGCAAGGATTATTATTATTATTAATTCACTTTTATTGCAACTGAGCAGCATTATCAGTTAACTCAAAAAGTGAACTATATTCTGAACTGGAAGTGTCATAAGTGCCAATGTGAAATCCCTTATTGTGATAAACAGTGNAAAAATAATCCAGAGATATTGTATTTCAATGGGACTGCAGCAGTTTCCAAGATTACATCTTTAGAACTGTGTCACAGACGAAGATTTACAGACTGTAGATTGCTGGTGGGAGAGCAGCAGGTTAATGGATGCTGGTTGCCCTCTCCTGTGGTTTTCTGCGGATTGTAATCTGAATCAATCAATGTTTAAATGAGAAACACTGATTGGCTGCATCACAAGACTGGGCTTCATAAACGTGAAACAGCTTCAATCCACTGCTATATTTTCCATCGAACTGTTTAGCGCATTTGTGCAATTTGATGGTAACGAACAATCTTCTGGTAACACTCAATCCACAAAACGCACAGTATCTTCACTTTACAGTGTAATCTGTGAAGCTCCATGGATGTCCACCTGACGTGAAAGATGATATACCAAATGTAAGGATAATTAATGATTATTTATCTGCTGGTAACATAGAAACACACATAGGGATTAACTTCTGCAGACAGCATTGTATATTTTAACATGCAAAGTAGGTCATCTGTGGAGAAACCTCCTCTTCAGGAGGGTGTTCTGAGGCACATCTGTCTCCACATTTGATGCGCGCTGCACAATTGGGCTCAGCCTCCAACAGGCCTCAGTCTGTTAGCCCTTACAAAACAAGAAGTGGAGTCCTGTAGCTCAGTGGATAGAGCACTCCCTTGCAAGCGAGACACCTGGGTTCAATTCCAGGCAGGGCGAAACCTTGGGCAAGTTTCCTAACTCCACACACCTAATAATAATCCCTCCAAAACAAAACAATAATAAATTAGTCATTTTCAATCCACGACTGTTTGTAAGACATTGCTGTGCGCAATTGGCTGCCGTGTTTCGCCCACAAAAATACAGTCAATTCACTTTATAGTATATTCTGTGAAGCGCTTTGAGATGTCTAGAAGACGTGAAAAGCGCTATATCAAACGCAAGGATTATTATTATTAAGAAGGCGAACAAGTTTGGTGGTGGGGAAGAAGCCTTCCCTGGCATTGATGACGACTGTCATCACCCCCACAGTCTTGAACTAGTTGCTTGTCGTCATTACTAGGTGTCTTGAGGGACAACATTTTTCACATTGCCCAGTAATGACACCTCTGGTGGCAATGAGTCAAAAGGC